CCCCAAAACCCCAAAACCCCAAAACCCCAAAACCCCAAAACCCCAAAACCCCAGGGCATTATAAAATAATTGGAATTAACAACACTGAATAAAAAGTAATGGGCATGAAGATTGGATAGTGACATATAAATTTCCATAAAAATACGATTCACCATACCTACTAATACCCCTAAAGTGTCAAATTTGTTGAGAATTTAGAAGATTTATGCCCTGAATATTCAAATGACAGTTAAATTTTAAAATTCTTGTTGAAAATACTTCCCCAAACTGTCTCTGTATTCGTAGCGATTGGGGGTATTCCCTAACCAGGAGCCGATACTTACCTAGTACTTTCTTCATCAAAACCTGCTCTAAGAGGAAGGACTGTTTTTAACGATTTTTGGGTTTTCAATACTTCCCAAGACAAATGAATATTTCATACTCGATATGCGAAATCATACTTAATGATTGACAGGAACTGATTTGGAATAATGGAAATATTTTCTATTTATTATCTTAAATTACTAAATTTATGAGGTCACAACAGATATAGATTCCAATAAGCCACTAATAAGCTCCATTAAGATTATGAGTATGGTTAATCATCACCATTTTTGGATTCACACAGTGGCTTAATTACAGTTTTATTTCAAACCTGTCATTATATCGGAACTTTGTCAGACTTTTGATAGGACTTTCTTCATATTCCATGGCTAGCACTGATTATTTCCTTCCTATAAATGATTCAAATAATTCAAGAATTTTCCCAATCATAAAGAGTTACAAGCGCTGTCAGACTTTTGCTGTATGAAAATATAGAAGAGCTTTTGTCATTAAGGAATCTTTAAATGTGTCATCTAAAATTTTATTTACTTGTATAGTGATATACTACTGTCCGAACAAAGGCATCAACCAAATCTATCCAATTTATAACAGGAATCATGCTTTCTCCCCTCAAGCAAGGAAGATCAGCAAGAGAGCCATTAAATGAACATCAATAGGCATTTCAAATAGAAAATAGTAAATATTCTAAATTCTGACAAATCTAGCCACAATACTGAAACTCGGCAAAAGATCCGAATGGCTAAGATTAAAGTGCCGAATCATCGAATAAACCAGTTTACAGACCAATCAATGCTCAACATTTGAATCCAAAGGAAGCCTCAGGAGAAACTTCCTGTTATGAGGAATAAAAGCCATGCTAAGCTTCAAACGCATCATATCAGGGACTTGATTTCTCCTGCTCCAGTGGTCACCAAGGAGCGGTCAAAAACCAGGAATCTTATAAAGCATACATTCACTAATAAAAAGGGAAGAAAGAGGAGAAATACTTTACTAAAAAGAAGAGGTATTAAGAGCCAGATTAGGATAAACAAACCCAAAAGTAGATGAAAATTTCACCCAAAAAAACCTTCGTTAAAGAGCCCGACCAGTATCCTAGATGTCATTGTCAGAGGTTCCAATAGTCCAAACACTAGTGCTAAGTCATCAAGCAAGGAAAGAAATGATAGTGACCAGCGAAAGAGCTCCTCTAAGAATCGAAAGAAGGTTAGCTCTTTAAAGAAACAAAAGAAGAATATTAAAACAATTCAGGAGAAATATTTTCAGATGGGCAGTCAAAAAGAGACTTCTCCTAGAAAGTCACCCGAGAAGGACTCAACTTCCTCATTCGAGAATCTTGGCAAAGGACTAGTGGTTATAGTCAGTAAAGAAGATAGTATTCCTAAGAATAGTAGAATCCATAGTAACTCAAGGAAAAAAGAATCAAAGCATGCCCACTCTAAGACAAATAGCAAGGATATGAGCAGTAAGGTACTCACCAGAGATGAGGATACTTCGGAGGTTCAAAGGAATCTATCGGTTCTTAGGAAAACCAGAAAGAACTCAGCTTCCTTCACAGCAGTTTTTGGGTCTGAAAATTTATCCAATAACTCAGTATCACCTGTATCGGGGAGTGATAAGAAAGAGGTTTTTAGAAAGTACTCAAATGATGCCTTTGCAAGCAATGCGACCAAGTATTTAGAGCTTCTAACCTAATAGACTGAGTCCAACAAATTCAAAATCAGGGCATAATCCTAAGAGAGAATCTCCAGTAGGACTTTCATCCGAAAACTCCAGTGAAGAACAGTCTAGCAGGCGTGTTATTTTCAAAAACAGGATGAATGGTACTCAAAACCGTGATCTCAGACTTGGAGACAAAGAGAAATTTCAAAGAAGGAAGATTCTCAGAAAACCCAACTCTTTCAGCCAAGTTGAATACCTAGAAACAACAAATAAACTTGACCCAAAAAGAAATGAGAGTCATGATTCGGTTCATTCAAGTGAGGAGAATACTGTAATGATGCCGAAGTTATCTCAGAGTAAGTCCCTTCATGAATCATTGATTTGTAGAATCAGGATTACTTAGCACCTTCGAAAACAAGAATTCAGAATCTCAAAAGTTAAGCGCTCCAAAGACAACCAAGGAGAGGTTCGTAGAGTGGCATGAAAGGCTATATAATAAGGAATATAAGAAAACTAACTCTAAAAGTCCCAATAAGAATGAAAGTCTGAATATCATCAGTGAAGACTCTTCTATACAGAGGAGGTATATGAGCCCTCAGAATTCAATGAAGCAGAAATTATCCTTCAATAGCTTTTTAAAGGTAGAACCCCAAATTGCTTATAAAGCTCCGCCTAGGAACCATGAGAGTTTCAACAACATGAAAAGCTTCATGCAATTACAAAAGTCAAATGCTTTATTTCAAGAAATAAAAGAAGAGAATAGATGCAATAGTGGGCACAACGAAGACTTTACCTCTGCTGTCGATAAGGAACTAGTTATACGAGGCTGGAATAAACTCAATAGTTCCAAACTTAGCGTCATAGACTCTTCTATAAGTAAAGAAGTCCCTAATGATGAAGAAAGATATTTAGTAGTCTCAAAGCATAAATAGAATTAGTTTTATTGAATCAGAAGGAAAGGAAGGAAATAATTAAAAAACTTAAGTCAAGAAACAAAGAAAAGGTTGATAAAAAATTGAAGACAAACTTATCAAAGAATGTTCAATGGGCTCAGAAAGGTAACTCAATTAGTCTTGCTTCTTCTCTAATAATGTATTTCCTAACAAATCTGTAGAACCTTTCAACATTTTCTGTCAGAACACTCCAAATCCTCAAAAATAGCCTAAAGCCTAAACTACGCAAAAGAAGAAGGAGGAACTCTCGTCAGAGGCTGCGGGTGAATCTCTCCAGAACAGATCTAACTCAGGTTGGGAAAGGCCTCCCTCATTTTCATTAAAAAGATTAATGATTTTCTCACACTATAGCTTTCAATCCTTTAATAATTGCATGGGGTTTTGGGGTTTTGGGGTTTTGGGGTTTTGGGGTTTTGGGG